GCATGCCCTTCCCAAGAGGGGAACAACAGTAGGGTAATGTTGTGAGAGGTGATGGATGCTCCCATCTCTCTACGGGCCCCTCAAACCGTCCTGCCTCACCCCTCCCCTCACCGTCATCCACAACGCCACCAGGGAAAGCTTGGTCGGCAGGGTGGCGGCGAGACTTCCCTCCTTCGAGCATCTCGACCGGTGCGGGACAGCTGGATCACGAGGAGGTGTCGGCCTTACGCGGGGTCCGGCGGCGCGGCGAGCGGGCACCCCTTGGTGAAGTTGTGCGCGGGGCGGTGCCGGCGGCAGGGACGCGAGTTCACAGTGTGGTGATGGCTGCATGGTGGGCATGACTAGGAGGTCGCGGGCACCACCGGGTTCAGATCGAATCTGGATTTGACACCTGGACGCGGTCGGCCAGTGCGGGGTGGTGGTCTTCGCCGCTGACCATGTCGGATCGGTTGATGAGGCGCCTGGCTATCTACTACGCATGTTCTTCTCGGTCCTTTCGTTGGGTTGAGCCCCATGGCACTCTCATCTCTATAGGTTTCGGTTCATGGCCCGTTGCTGGATTCGAAGCAGACGAAGGTTTGGTGGTATAGGATGGGGACCGGAGGAAACTTTGGTCGGCTGGTCCGGCCTGGCATCGATGATACGTCTCCGTCGTATCTACTTTTCCAAACACTTTTGCCCTTGTTTTGGAATCTAACTTGCATGATTTGAATGGAACTAACCCGGACTAACGCTGTTTTCAGCAGAATTGTCATGGTGTTATTTTTGTGCAGAAATAAAAGTTCTCGGAATGACCTGAAAATCAGCGGAGATTATTTTTGGAATATATAAAAAATACTGGAAGAAGAATCCACGTTAGGGGGCCCACACCATGTCCACGAGGGTGGGGGCGCGCCCCCTGCCTCATGGGCCCCTTGACGCTCCACCGACCTCAACTCCAACTCCATATATTCGTGTTCGGGGAGAAAAAAATCTGAGAAAAGGATTCATCGCGTATTATGATACAGAGCCACCGCCAAGCTCTAAACTCTCTCGGGGGGCTGATCTGGAGTCCGTTCGGGGCTCCGGAGAGGGGAATCCGTCGCCATCATCATCATCAACCTTCCTCCATCACCAATTCTATGATGCTCACCGTCATGCGTGAGTAATTCCATCGTAGGCTTGCTGGACGGTGATGGGTTGGATGAGATTTATCATTTAATCGAGTTAGTTTTGTTAGGGTTTGATCCCTGGTATCCACTATGTTTTGAGATTGATGTTGCTATGACTTTGCCATGCTTAATGCTTGTCACTAGGGCCTGAGTGCCATGACTTCAGATCTGAACCTATTATGTTTTCATGAATATATGCGAGTTCGTGATCCTATCTTGCAAGTCTATAGTCACCTATTATGTGTTATGATCCGTTAACCCCGAAGTGACAATAATCGGGATACTTACCGGTGATGACCGTAGTTTGAGGAGTTCATGTATTCACTATGTGTTAATGCTTTGGTCTGGTACTCTATTAAAAGGAGGCATTAATATTCCTTAGTTTCCAATAGGACCCCGCTGTCACGAGAGGGTAGGACAAAAGATGTCATGCAAGTTCTTTTCCATAAGCACGTATGACTATATTCGGAATACATGCCTACATTACATTGATGAACTGGAGCTAGTTCTGTGTCACGCTATGTTATAACTGTTGCATGATTGATCGCATCCGACATAATTCTCCATCACCGATCCATTGCCTACGAGCTTATCATATATTGTTCTTCGCTTATTTACTTTTCCGTTGCTACTGTTACAATCACTACAAAACCCGAAAATATTGCTTTTTCTATCGTTACCACTACTATCATATTACTTTGCTACTAAACACTTTGCTGTAGATATTAAGTTTCCAGATGTGGTTGAATTGACAACTCAACTGCTAATAGTTGAGAATATTCTTTGGCTCCCATTGTGTCGAATCAATAAATTTGGGTTGAATACTCTACCCTCGAAAACTGTTGTGATCCTCTATACTTGTGGGTTATCAATCGACAGCGTCCCTCAACGCTGTTACCCTTCTTGGAGGCGAAGCCGAGGTCCCTCCTATCCACCTCCAAACACCTCCCGGACGAAATTCTGAATTTAGACTGCATTGGGCAGCGGCGATGTCCTGCGCGTCGTAACCTTCATGGAGGCGCCGTCTTGGGAGGCTCAGTTGTTCGGGGGAGAGTTGCTATGGGTGGTGGGCTCCGCGTAGCTCCAGCAGTGGTGATGGTGTGGTGGTTGGCAGGAGGAGCGGCATTTTATCTACCGCGTCGATGACGACGAGTATTGACGGCATGGTGCAGCTGGACCTCGACGATGGATGCGGCTGGATGGACGAGAGCAGGGCGGTGGGCCTGTTTGGCGCTGTGGCGGCGTTGACGACAGGCCTAGAAAGGTCGATGCATTAGTACTTGCTCTAAAGATGGATCAGTGTAAGACGGCGACGATGACCCTTCCAGCGTGCACATGTGGTGCCCACTGAAAGTGCGCCGAACCGGTGTGTTACCCAGTCCAGGTATTGTGGCTTGGATGGGGCATCCAGCATTAGATGTTAGGTGTTGGTGCCATGTCTGTTTGGTATTAGGCTCGGACATTCAGCATCCCTTCATCATGGGGATAGGAGTAGCGACAAGTGTTGCTAAGATGGTGGTTTCAGGCTTACTTATGTATTACCTTGTAATGGCTTTGTGAATAATTAATAAAATGGCCACATGCATCGCCCAAATGCAGAGGCCGGGGTGCATCGTCCTTTTCAAAAAGAAATCTCTCTGCGCGCCCTGATAAGATCTCTTGGCATTTAGCCTCACCAGGTCGCTTTTCGGTTAACTCCCTATACAAAAAACTTTCAGACAATCTGCCTTTAGGTCACGCTTTGCTCCTCTGGCAAGCGGTTATGCCTCTCAAAATCAAGATTTTCTTATGGAAGTTGATGTGCAACCGCTTGCCTTCCTTGCTTAATAGTGACTATAATGGCCCTTCGAACGGTTCATATGTGCTTTGTGGGACGCCTGAAGACACTAACCACACTTTTTTCCATTGTGTGATGACCAAGTTCGCTTGGAGCTGTCTCCGGGAGGCATTTTCGATCTAGAACGTATTTCCCTTGTTTCCCGTCTTTGGGGCTCTTACAAGCCTGTTGCTTGGCATTGTATTGCGATTTTTCTTTGGGCTCTTTGGCATGTTTATAACAAGCTTGCTATAGAAAAAATGTCCCCTTCTCATCCTACTGAGTACTGATTGCATCTTTAAATGTGTCATTTTTCTACCGCAATGGACATCGGTAGGGAAGCAGGAGGGGGACGAGATGAAGGTGGCGATCCTCAAGCTTAAGACAGATCAACACCATAGCGCAAGCCCCTCCCGTTGGCACCTAGGGATAGGTGCCTTTTGCCCGAGTCCGTGTACTATGTTGCGAGCCTTGGCTCTGTATGTTAGAACTCCGTTTTATTTTGAATCGCATCCTTGTGATTGTTATGTTATGACAGATGTTCACGTTTATCGTGGATTTATTAATTTAAAGTGGGACGCACTTTCGTTCTAAGAGAGATGACGTTTTGAAGTCTTAAATTTTCAAAGAAAACCCCACTAATATCCAAGTATCCAAAAAACTGACATCAACGACAAAACAGGGCCAATAATAAAGCTTAAAAAGGCAAAACAGAGACAGTAGACCAGTGACGGCGAGCGATCTCTCACTAGAGTTGTGCATTGTGCCTCGGCTGGAGCCGCACGCTGCTACAAACCACTATTAGATCCGGACGAAATAAGTTCTCATCGTGCGTACAACAATGTGGCCTGCCTCTACTCTAGAGGTAAACCTATGCTAGTTTAACCCCTTGCTCAGTCCAAGTTGTTTCTTTGGTGGGTTCGATGTCACATTGTGTATAGGGCTCGACGTCAACGTTTTTGACCAGTCTAAGCACTAGACTTTAGTTTTGTTCGCACGAGCGGCACAAATTCTGAAGGGAATCCCGAGTTCCTTTCTGCTACTTACGATACTACCAATACCAAGATTCTGTTTTCTCTCCGATTTTACTCGGAATTACCAGACCATACGATTTTTGCAGATTTAATTCTCAGTCCAAATCTTCAACTACTACAACCTATGCAAAATAATCAAAAGCCATGTAGAAGGGACTAAAATTAGCAGGCGCAGGCAGTAGGTCAAACTTCAACAACAACAACAACAACAACAACAACAACAACAAAGCCTTTAGCCCCAAACAAGTTGGGGTAGGATAGAGATGAAACCCATAAGATCTCGCAACCAACTCATGACTCTGGCACATGGATAGCAAGCTTCCACGCACCCCTGTCCATAGCTAGCTCTTTGGTGATACTTCAATCCTTCAGGTCTCTCTTAACGGACTCCTCCCATGTCAAATTCGGTCTACCCCGCCCTCTCTTGACATTCTCCGCACGCTTTAGCCGTCCATTATGCACCGGAGCTTCTGGAGGCCTGCGCTGAATATGCCCAAACCATCTCAGACGATGTTGGACAAGCTTCTCTTCAATTGGTGCTACCCCAACTCTATCTCGTATATCATCATTCCAGACTCGATCCTTCCTCGTGTGGCCACACATCCATCTCAACATACGCATCTTCGCCACACCTAACTATTGAACATGTCGCCTTTTAGTCGGCCAACACTCAACGTCATACAATATTGCGGGTCGAACTGCCGTCCTGTAGAACTTACCTTTTAGCTTTTGTGGCATTCTCTTGTCACAGAGAATGCTAGAAGCTTGGCGCCACTTCATCCATCCGGCTTTGGTTCGATGGTTCACAGCAACCATAACGAAATGTCCAACGACAAGAATACATCCCTTTAACAGTCGCTACAAGGGCGCTTCCTGGTGATGTCCACGTCGGACTAGCGTGAGACAAAAAAATTCGCTCAGTTGAGAAGAAAGATTCACATAACACCTCCCCCAGGACTGCTTTCTCTTCCTTGCTAAGCAAACCCCACCTCTTCCTCTTCAGCCTTTCTCAGGCACGCAACCTCCGCCGTCTCCGGATCGTTCTCCGGCATCCCTCCGCCGCCACTTCTCCTCCCCGTTCCTAGCCAAGCTCCGGCCCTCCGCCATCCCCTCCTCCTTGACCGCCTCTCTACTCCTCTGAAGATGGAACACGGGCCAGCTGCTACGCCTGAGCTGGCACAAGGTCATCGGGCAGAGGAGGTCCAGCGCCGACGAGCCACTCACGCCCGTGTCTGAGGTCTCGGAGGCGCTGGAGTTGCCGGCCTTACTGAGATGGGTCGGCGGGGATGATGGTGTTGGGGTCAGGAGGGAAAGGCCACCGACGAGGATGGCGGCATGGCAGGGTAAATTCCTCTCCATCTCTCCACAGTGCTGTTTACAGATTTTCTCAAGCGGATGCGCTTCTGTGTGTCCATGTTGTTCCTTGCTAGCTATATGCCTATTTTTACACGTTCTTATGCTACTTTGCAAAGAAAAATCTGGGATTTTGGTCAATGGGGATCGATTAACATGTTCAGGATTCAGACACGAGCTCCTAAAATGTGCTTACAGTTTTTTCACTTTTCTCCATCCCTACAAATTGCAAGATGGATCAGTAGGTGTTCTCTGGAGTGAATTGCTAATCAAATCAGTAACGCTGGGGTAGTTCCCTTATAAAGCGCTAATTGGTAATTTAACCAATCGAACAATAATGAATCATGAGGAGTAAGTCATGCATCATATGTTGCTTATACAAAGCTTTCTCCACTGATAACCTAAATGATTAGAGTTCATGCCTAACTTGTGAGGCCCAGATATTTAAGTAGACTGTAGAAGTCATTATAATTCTTTGGAAGTTCCAACTTGGAACTACTTATATCTTCGTTTCTATATTTGATTTCTTTTCTTATGAAAACATAGTTGCGATATTTGCAGTTCGGAAACAATGCACCCTGTTCAAGTACTCTTAGACATTAATGCACAGAACAGTTATGCAACAAGCCTTTTTGTATAAAGTTCAAATTATATACATTGCAGATTGCAAAGGGGGTTAGTTTTATCTTTTTGTTAATATAGACCTGCTTCAGTATTTTGCATGGTTATCCTGTAATTTATTTATTTTTTGAACAATCACTGGGGGGAGAGGGTCCCCACCTGAGTTATCCTGTAATTTATGGATCAGTATTTTCCATAAAGCTCCCCTTTGGACTATGGATTTATTCTGCTCCAGCTGTGTTGCATTAGTTTTCCAACAAAAAAGTTCTAAGATTTATCATATGTTTTCATGCTGATATTTTTTAAGTTGTCGATAGTCACACTTCATATGCTTTGATGAGGAATTCATTTAGCAAATGATCTTTTCATGTTGAAGTCGATATCCTCTGCAACTTAAAAGTATATTTGCATATGAATTATTTGATGTCACTATATGATCCTTTAGGTCCTTATCTGATTTATTTACATACCCTCCTCCTTTAGGGCTTGTTCGGTTAATCCTCTCCCCAAGAGGATTGGAGGGGATTGGCAAGGATTGGCTTGTATTTTGACTTACAAGAGGTTTAAATCCCCTTCAAACCCCTTCAATCCACTCGGATTCGCACCCAACCGAACAAGGCCTTAGGTGAATTGGAAGATGTTTTGACATGTTAAAATGGTGCATCCTGTGCTAGTTGACTGGTCAATCTTTTCATTTGTTGGGAGCTGAAAGTTGTATTTCCAAATTAACAGAGGGTGAACCGTGGTTCTCAGGTATGATGCAAAGCATTCCATGTTGTGTTTACTAATATCAGGTGCTCATTCACGTATGATTTTATTGATTATTGAAGAATAAACAGGTTATATAGTGTTTGCTTGGACTGTAAATTTTCTCTCTTATCATTTGTGAATTTTAGCAATTGTTTCTTATTGATCCGTCTTTTCTTCCCGGTAGGTGATATCAGAATTATCGAGTCCTGCCAATCACATGAGATCACTGATCTTATTTTGGTGCATGGTTAGCCTGATGGTTTGATTGTCTGTCATCTATCATTAGGTACAACTGCATACTTTGGTTTACTCAATGTGGTAAATGCCCATGTCTGTTTTATTCACGATGAGCAGATGCAGTATACAACATGAGACAACATTCTTGGCGGCAGCTCGTGGTCCCATTTTTTCGCAGGTAACACGACATGATGGTGTTCTACGGCCCATTTGGCATACTTTTTGTCTTCGCTTTCTTGGACGGTTATTCATTAGTCCAATGCTTGACATCAATGTGGATTCATTTAGGTGTAGATGTTGTAGGTTGCAGATACTAAATTTAGTCTAGGTGTAGATGTTGCAGGTTGCAGATACTAAATTTAGGATTCATTTAGTATCCAATGCTTTCATTTTCACACCGGTACTGAATTATTCTATACTAAATTTAGGATTTATTTTTCAGTTACACCATGTATTTGTTTTTTCACTTCCTGCCGGTGCTGAACTCTTTTGCTTGGCCATGAGAAGGGCAGTGGGTGAAAATGTTGGCTTAGAAATTTAGAACATCATTGAAGTGGTCAGGGGTCTGGTCGTGTTAAGTAAACACTGTACAGAGTCAGTCTGGCACTCCTGTACATCAAGAATTAGCTGAACCTTTCAGCAGTAGCACATTTATGTATATGAATTTGTGTTCGCATATGTTGACCCTCTTTTAATATTGTAGGACCTGCCAAATTTAGTTGCAAGTAAAGATGCAGATTTTTCATATGTTGATGCTGTTTTTTGTTGCTTGGCACATGTAACAACACAGGTTGGTAGCTTCATCATGCTTTTTCTGAGATTTTTTTCTATCAATTGCTAAACTTATGAAGGAATCCAGTTATATGCTCAGCTCTCAATTGGAAGATAAGATTTTGTATCGAACACACTTAGAGCAATGTCTGATGGCAAGTTTGTTATCAAGAAATTATTAAAGGCTTACCCCAACAATTGGAGATTGTTGGTCCCTCTGCGGTATGCTCTATACAAACACATGCTTTACCTATGTTGGTATCACCTCGGTTGCTATTGAACAACCAATCTTTCAGACTTACCATGCTCGTAGGATTTTCGATTGCGTGACATCAATGAGTATGCTGAGTGGTATGGCACTATGGCCATGCTCATAGGGCACTGAAACTTCAGGTGTTCTTGAGTACTATACCCTACAGACTTGTTAATATACCAGCCATTGGTTACACAAATTTTGAAGTTACTCAGTTCTAAAGTTCCAGTTTACTGAGATGTTTCATCAATTTCTTTGTACATTACCTTTGGAGCTTGGATTAGATTCCTGTGTAGCCTATGATGTCTTCTAGTCCTCTTGTGTCATTATGTTTGTTTGTTGTGAACTCATAAGAGGTTGTATATGGTTTGACGGAGGTTCTTCGAGATGAAATAAGAGATGTGCGGCTTGTTGCCAACCCCCGCATCTATTCAGCTCCCTCTTGTTGCTCTAATTAAGGTGAAAATTAATAAAAGTTCTTAGTCTTCCCAGATCAAAGCAACAAGCATTTAGACTCAATAGCCCTCACTTGTGAACCATCTGTTTTTGTTTTTGTAATATCTTTTTTATTCTATCCAAAAAGAGGTTGTTATTCATGTTATTATTATTTATTAACCTGCATTCGATGGTTATGCAGTAAGACAGTAACATGCTTCTGTGAGCAAACGTTGATGTTTAGATCATGTACAACAGTGCATGTAAATATCATTTCTTTTATTTAGAATTCCACACACCCAATTCATATGAGAATATCTTGAGAAGATCAGTTCTGCCACTGCTGCTGTTGTAGAATGAATTGGATGAGCTCTTCCTTTAGTTGCTGCTACTTTTAGCCCTTATTTCCTTGAGAACATCTTCAAAGTATAGATAAGAAAATTACGTGGCTATAGAAGGATATATGTAAAACACCAAAGAAAAATAACTTTGAAATCTATATATTTTATTGACTGTGCACCTATTCCATCTACTAAATAACTTCTGTGAGGTAATCCTGATCAGAAGTTTTATACAACTTCTCTTCTTTGAAGCTTCTTTTCATTCCCGTGCTCTCCTCTTTTATATGAATTATGTAGGTGGACCTGTTAGGCCGTAATATTACCATGTGCTAAGATTTTGTTCCTCTGTGTTGGATTTGGTTACAAAATCAAGGGATAGAAAATATGAATATTCGTGTGCTGCCCACCAATGGAACATTTTGTTTTTTTACTGTGACTATTCTGTATTTTGTTTGCTTCGTCCAACAACGACGTTGACTGGACAAGAGGTAGGTTTTCCCTTTGTGTTTAGATTCTTATGTCTTTCCAGATGCTCTATTTTCAACCAATTGAATGATTATATTAGCCCTGCAGTTGTAATCAATCCCCGGGAAACGAGCAACTAGAGCAATCAATAATTCGTGACTACGTCTGCTTCATGCTCTACAGGGAGTCGGATGGCTGTCCTAAACAGAGGGTCGGTGTTGCACGAGCTGAAGCTGCGAACACCTTCATATCCTGATCGTCGGAAAATCTTTCTTAGTTGCTACAGTACTCTATTTCATGAGGTACTATTAATTTTATCCGAACTTTTATAAATGGTTGGTGGTTGGTTCATTTATCCATCCATTAGGTTCTCTCACATTTTTTTTTTGCTTCTGAATTTTTAAAAAAGTGTTCGTAGTATGTATGATGTCCATCTTATTGCTTCACCAAAATGTTTATTAGAACTCAAGTTGTTTTTGCTTACCGTGTCGTAATCTGGTGTTGAATAGGTTCCATATTGATTGATATTCAGCACCAATCTGCAAAGAACCAATAGGTGACACATCCTGAGTCCTTCGCCGTGGCGTGGACAAGACGCCCTGCCGGAGCAGGGTGTGGATGAGTTGGTGGCTCCGGTCACGCACACCGGCTGGTACTGCTCCGGCGAGCCACCGCTGCCGTTGCCTGTCTCAATCTCGCTTGGCATCAACTTTAGGCGAGGGCGCTGAACGCAGAGAAGGGAAGAAAAAACTATGGGCGCTCTTACTAGAGCTGTAATTATGCACATCCGAAAAGAAGCTAAGCTGCAGTGTGTCTGTACTGTGCTACAGACGAGATTCGTTTGTATTGCCTGTCATGCATTTCTCTTTACTTTTCACATGAAGTAGCAACATAATATGTTGATGAAATCACCATTGTCATGTGTATGTGCTAACAAGAGGTGAACAAAGTAGTTGAATGGGCGAAGGCAACCTGGCACCGCAGAGTCACCACTCAGGTGGCGCCGCCCGGTGGCGCCCCAACCACTAGTGCTGCACCAAGACTATCGTAAACTACAAGTGGAAGAACAGCCATATTGCCTAACCCTCAGAAGTACTGCACTTCCCCACAATCAATAGACAGAAAAGAAACAC